TCTTCTTCTTCTTCTTCTTCTTCTTCTTCTTCTTCTTCTTCTTCTTCGGAAAGCTTTAATGACTTTTTATTTTCTCTTTAATTTTGTTTTTTTAAATTTAATTTAAATATTTATTTATCACAATTCATTCACCCTGCATCCCCCTCCCTCGTTTCCTCCCGGTCACACCCACCATCTCCCCATGCCTCTTCCCTCCATCTGACCCCAGGCCTCCAGGTCTCATCAAGGCTGGCCTCATCATCTTCCTCCTTGGTCTGGCAAGTCTGCACCACCCCAAGGGGTGTTAATTCTTTCACTAGCCTAGTCTTCCAACCCATCAGAGACCCGAGAAGGATAAATTATAATCTAAATGGCCTGTATATTAATCAAAATAACAGAGACTAGTCCACAGTACACCAATAGACAGTTGTCCCAGTCTCCTGTGGTCTTCATGGTACAGTGTACAGAGGCAGTCTGGGCTCGGGCCCAGAAGATGAGAGACTTTTTCTGTGGAGTAAGAACACTGGAGATATTGACCTCACTCTGTTGTTGGTGATGTGGCACAGTTACCTCTTCAGGTGTCCTGTTTTCCCATAGTCCAGGCTGGGCCCTAGCAATGGCTGAGGCATTGGGATAGTCTTACCCATTTATTAGTGTAACACAACCCAGGTGGAGTCCCTTTTCATTGTGCCCATATTTTACTGGAGACATTGGGGTCATCACTATGTGCTGGCGGCTCTCATAAACACCTAGTAAGCTTTTTTTCATTAAACGTTTAAATGCCATAATCAGCAGATTCTCTGACAGGTGTGAGAACCATCATCTATTAAGAGTATAGTTGGCTGAGCTCAGCAAACTTTGCTTGTTTTTAGTTCCCTGTTTTAGGCTTAACCTTAAAAACACATACAGAAAGCTAAACAAAGATTTTTTTGTTTTTACCTCCCCCAACCCCCCGAGGAAGGAACAGTCTTGTTAGGCCACAGAGAAGAGACATAGCAGCCAGTCCTGAAGATACCTGATAAGCTAGGGTCAGATGGAAGGGGAGGAGGACCTCCCTAGCAGTGGACTTGGAAAGGGACAGGAAGGAGATAAGGGAGGGAGGGTGGGATTGGTAGGGACTGAAGGAGGGGGTTACAGCTGGGATACAAATTAAACAACCTGTGATTAATATAAAAATTAAATTAAAATTAAAAAAATATTTTTGTGTAAATTAATTGGACCAGTTCTTAGCATGACATCAAATATAGTTTTAAATACATTAAAAATTCTGATCTTTTATGAAGGGACTATTAATTTGCATGTTTTAATTATCATAAGAGTTTAAAATAATTTAGTAGCTTCCATAAGACTAGGTTTAGCCCTGTTAAGTTTGCACCTTAAAAATCATGCTTTTTTAATTGAGGCTCTTTCAGCATCAATATATACATATATATACAATATATATATGTATATATTAATATATACTGATGTATTGATATATATTGATATATATACATATATATATACATGTATATATTTATGCTTATATATTGATGCTAATATATATAGATATAGATAGATGATAGATAGATGATAGATGGATAGATAGATAGATAGATAGATAGATAGATAGATAGATAGATGCTAAAAGAGCAGATATATATTGAGACAGGGTTCCTCTGTATAATAGCTCTGTCCTGGAACTCATTCTGTAGATCAGGCTGGTTTTAGGCCTGCCTCTGCCTCCCAAGTGCTGGGATTAAAGGCTTGCACCACCACACCCATCTCAAAATAAAACTTTTAATCATAGATAATGTCTAC